TCTTGTAACACATCTAAAGCCATATATTTTTAAATCAAAGTCGAACAAAATCACTAGTAGGGTTGAGTTGCTACATAACTAATAAACTAATCATGTATAATAATACGTATAATTCACGTAAAATAGTTTAATTATACGTAAAATAGTTTTACTTTCGGGTAGATGCTGGTGCCTGCTGGTAACTCAAAACAAGTGTAAAGAATAATTCGTGTTGACTGTGATTAGATATCTTAACAAGTTACAACAGACATCATTACATACCTAACTCCGTCCACGGCCCCAGTGCAAGGATGTTTGTAATCAAGCATTAGCAATATTACCTTTTAAAAAAAAAGCATTAGCAAGATTCCACGTTTCCTGGTTTTTGTCCCACTAGGAAATGGACCATGTACAGTAACTGCCTAACTGGCAAAAGCTCCCTCTTCAAATTTTTTACCCACAATTATTTCATCCTAAAATTAATATAATACCGAGATACTACCTATCATGTTCAAACTAAGTGGAGTAACCATTATCTGGTATTTAAACAACACCAAGTTGTGTCTATAATCTATCAGCTCATGTGCAATATTCCCACAGGAAGAAGACAAGCTTAGATATGAAAACAACCAAAATGATTCCTTCTCCTCTCTGCCTTTGAATCCCAATAACCAGATAAAACAACTTGGTATCTTCTTTTCTTTACTTCTTCTGCACCAACCAGTAGAACTAGAGGTACTTCTGCAATTTTCTTCAATCTTTCTGTATTATCCAGCATGGAGGAGCCAACTCGATTAGTAGTAGAAGCAACGATTAATAACATGGACGGACAACAGAATGAAGAAGAAAGAGATCCAGAGAGCAATTCACTGCATCAGCCTCTCCTCAAGAGAAACAGAACACTATCATCCAGTCCATTTGCCTTGGTTGGAGCTAAGGTCTCCCATATTGAAAGTTTGGACTATGAGTAAGAACAACTAATAATCTTATCTTTAGATCAAGTATAGCTTTTCTTTACTTGGGCCAACAGAAATTGGATATCCTAATTGTGTGTGTCTGTTTTAGGATCAACGAGAATGATCTCTTCAAGCATGACTGGAGAAGGAGATCCAGAGTTCAAGTATTACAGTATGTGTTCTTGAAATGGACACTGGCATTTTTGGTCGGGCTTCTTACAGGAGTGACAGCCACCCTTATCAATCTTGCAATCGAAAACATTGCTGGCTACAAACTTCGAGCTGTTGTGAACTATATCGAGGATAGAAGGTTGGTGATGTTTTCCCTATGACCAACAATTCCTAAATGCTTCCAGAAGTCTTACTATAATTCTTCAATACGATTCCACTAGCTAATGACAAATAACAAGACCAAAGATCACTCATTTGACTTGAATTATGTTATTGATTTACTCATAATTGAGATTGTAACAATTGTTACAGGTACCTTGTGGGATTTGCATATTTTGCGGGTGCTAATTTTGTGCTCACTTTGATAGCTGCCCTTCTCTGCGTGTGTTTTGCACCTACTGCTGCAGGGCCTGGAATTCCTGAAATCAAAGCTTATCTCAACGGTGTAGATACTCCCAACATGTACGGAGCAACCACACTTTTTGTCAAGGTGCGTCACACACCCAATTTTATCAGTGCTGGCAATTCAGGTAGCAGGCAGATTATAACGCCATCAGTATAGTATTGAGATCCTGTTGAACTAGATGTATAAATGGATAGAATAGCAGCAAATCACACATTTTTAGTCTAAATATTTATGGAATTCAATCTCATTTGGGAAGTGATCTCTATCTTTCAGTAATCAGATAGGAAGTGGTTTAAGAATAAAAAGAGAATTTTAGAATCAAATGCACTCATCCAGCAAGGAAGATCCATCAGTGGTATCTAATCTACTCTTGAACTTCCAGTAGTTCAATCCTTTGGTACTGTCACTGTAACTTGTTTTCTCATCCACCATTAAAATACAATAGCTTCCATGACACTCAGCTAATATGTCTCAATTGAATACGCTATTTGTTGACTAAAATGAATTTGCCCTATCATGAAAATGAATGGAAGTGACAAAAATACATATACTTAAAAGCACATATGTAGAGACACGCAAACTAAGGGCAAAGGTTCATAATTTTAAGGCGGTTGCGTCCAGAAGAACAAATTGCTCGCATGTTTCAGAGTGAATCTAACAAAAAAAGAAATAGGATAACAAATTTCCACTTGTAATTGTATAAGATTCTAAATTTGAGAGATTTGACATGTTTGCTTTCCCTTTGATTGAATCGTAAATGTGAAAGTGAAGTTCATCAAAAGTAGATTATGATACTTACCAACTTCTTTTTTCCCCTAAACAATCCTTAATCTCTTCACTCACAGATCATTGGAAGCATTGCAGCAGTTTCTGCTAGCTTAGACCTTGGAAAAGAAGGGCCGTTGGTTCACATTGGCGCTTGCTTTGCTTCCTTACTAGGTCAAGGTGGTCCAGATAATTACCGGCTCAAATGGCGTTGGCTCCGTTACTTCAACAACGATCGGGACAGGCGAGATCTCATCACATGTGGGTCATCATCAGGTGTGTGTGCTGCTTTCCGTTCTCCAGTAGGTGGTGTCCTATTTGCTTTAGAGGAAGTGGCAACATGGTGGAGAAGTGCACTCCTCTGGAGAACTTTCTTCAGCACGGCAGTTGTGGTGGTGATACTGAGGGCCTTCATAGAATACTGCAAATCTGGCAACTGTGGACTTTTTGGAAGAGGAGGGCTTATCATGTTTGATGTGAGTGGTGTCAGTGTTAGCTACCATGCTGTGGACATCATCCCTGTTGTAGTGATTGGAATCATAGGCGGACTTTTGGGAAGCCTCTACAATCATGTCCTCCACAAAGTTCTGAGGCTCTACAATCTCATTAACGAGTAAGCACCAACTCTTCCACATTCCCAACTGGATCATCAAACATTCAGTTGGTTCTGTAGATTTAAAAGGCAATGCATATCCACACAAAAATGAGCTTACTTGGATTAGAATCATCTTGAGACATTGATCCAACTGCCTTGCATCTTTTTAAGTTTGAATCCTAATTCCATCCAAACACGGTCTTCTTATCACATTTAACTGCCAAAAAAGAAGGAACTAGATGCAAAATCCTGACTTTCAAACTTTGATCCTTTTTTATCTTGCAGGAAGGGAAAACTACATAAGGTTCTTCTCGCTCTGAGCGTCTCCCTTTTCACCTCCATTTGCATGTATGGACTTCCTTTTTTGGCCAAATGCAAGCCTTGTGATTCATCACTTCCCGGGTCTTGTCCTGGCACTGGAGGGACAGGAAACTTCAAGCAGTTCAACTGCCCAGACGGCTATTACAATGATCTTGCTACTCTTCTCCTTACAACCAACGATGATGCAGTCCGAAACATTTTCTCCATAAACACTCCCGGTGAATTCCAAGTTACGTCTCTTATTATCTACTTCATTCTGTATTGCATCTTGGGACTCATCACTTTTGGGATTGCTGTGCCATCTGGTCTCTTCCTTCCAATCATCCTCATGGGTTCAGCTTATGGTCGCTTGCTTGCCATTGCCATGGGATCTTATACAAAAATTGATCCAGGGCTGTATGCCGTTCTCGGAGCAGCTTCCCTTATGGCTGGTTCAATGAGAATGACCGTTTCTCTTTGCGTCATATTTCTTGAGCTAACAAACAATCTTCTCCTTCTGCCAATAACAATGCTGGTTCTTCTAATTGCCAAAAGTGTAGGAGACTGCTTCAACCTAAGTATTTATGAAATAATATTGGAGCTGAAAGGTCTACCTTTCCTGGATGCCAACCCAGAGCCATGGATGAGAAATATCACTGCTGGTGAGCTTGCTGATGTAAAGCCACCAGTAGTTACACTTTGTGGAGTTGAGAAGGTGGGACGTATCGTAGAGGTCTTGAAGAACACCACATATAACGGATTCCCTGTCGTCGATGAAGGAGTAGTGCCACCGGTGGGTCTGCCAGTTGGGGCAACTGAATTGCACGGTCTTGTCCTAAGAACTCACCTTCTTTTGGTTCTCAAAAAAAAGTGGTTCCTTAATGAAAGACGAAGGACAGAGGAGTGGGAAGTGAGAGAGAAATTCACCTGGATTGATTTAGCTGAGAGGGGCGGTAAGATCGAAGATGTGTTAGTCACAAAGGATGAAATGGAGATGTATGTCGATTTGCATCCCCTGACTAACACAACCCCTTATACTGTGGTAGAAAGCTTGTCAGTGGCAAAGGCAATGGTGCTTTTCAGGCAGGTGGGGCTCCGCCACATGCTCATCGTACCCAAATACCAAGCAGCAGGGGTGAGCTTATAAGCAAATCTCAATTATTATTCTTATGCAAATATCTCCCTCCTATCATAGTTTAAAGATAGTCATATGGTAATATTAGAGCTTGTTAAGAAAAAGCATAGGTGGCAAAGTTATTTTACATTAGAAGTGATAAAAGCATTACTTACATCACACTTGTGGTCTTTTTGTAGGTATCGCCAGTGGTGGGAATCTTGACCAGGCAAGACTTGAGAGCCCACAACATTTTGAGTGTCTTCCCTCATCTGGCAAAGTCAAAAAGCGGTAAAAAGGGGAACTGAATCTCTCCAGAGGAAACAGATACCAGTCAATTTCCATGAAATATTCTTTTCCAGATTCCTTTTGATCTTTCCTTCTCTGTTTTTCTTTCTCTTTTTGTAGTTTCCAGTTTCCATCCTTTGTCAATTTTTATAGGAAGAGAGACACCTGAAGAGAGTGAGAGCAATTTTTTATGAATTATTTGACACACATAAGAAATCATTTATATATACATCATTTCAGTACAAATGCAGAGAAACATAGTTCATACAATGCAACCACATAACGCAATAACGGCAATTATGTGATGTAATCTTGTGCCCTTTATGAAAACTATCTTGAATAGAGATTTGTCCTTAGCATTGTTCTGTTTGCAAGTTACCTGAGTTTAATATAAACTTCAACCATACACAATTTTTGAAGATGAAATACTCGAAAGCTCCCTCCTGCTTCTTGCCAGATTTCTTCTTCTTGCTGTTGTATCCTCTGCCTTTCTTGAGCATAGAATATCAACACTGCATGCAGCCACATTGATTTCTTTAATTTGGCCAACAGTTAGGTAGGTGCGCTCCCAAAACAGAAAAGGATCATAGAAGCCGATCAAACAATGAAGCACCCACATAAAGCAGCTACTTATCATGCACCAAAAAATACAACGGATAGGTCCCCAATAACAGACTAGTCTATATGTAAGAACAATAAGAAAGAAGCTTGAAGTTAGGCAATGATAAGGGGAAACTTTAAATATTTGTTTTCAGCAGCTTATATGTTGCACCCTTTAACATTGGAGGAATTTATGTTTCTTTTTCACTGTCCTTGGTAATATTCACGCTCTAGATGCCTTCCTTCCTTTCCAACCTCTTGGTCCTCTGCTATGTCTGTTTCATTCATTGCTATCTACAGCTGTTATTGGTGACTTATAGTTTCAAAGCCATTCTCAGTTTCTTTTTGCATCCTCTATCTCAAATTACACCATTCACTTTGACCAGGCAAGACATCAAGACAAAAGCACTACCTGAAGTTTAATTGTTTCTAAATGTTTAAAGTTAACTGTTTGATGAATTTGACCTTAGTGTATAAAGTGTTCCAATGTCTATTTTTCGGTAATATATTACGTCAGTATTGAAGGCTTCTTTTCCAGTAAAGTGCTTATGGAAACCACAATTAAAAAAGTAATCAATTTATTCAGCAGAAAAAAGAGAAAGTTGTCATGTTTGAGTTTTGATGATCACAATTTGCTAAATATACGGATAGCAATTTTTTCTGAATTTTGTAAGACCTTGTAAAGGATCATCACTTTTCAAGTATAGCTACCTATCAAATGCACAAGACAGCTTGCAAACGAGGTCCTTCTTCAGCTCTCTCTCCCTCCCTCTCCCTCTCCAAGCAAAAGTGTGAGAAAAGGAAAATGCTAGTTTTAATGGTGAGGCGCGGATTGGACCTCTGTTATAGTCCTTAATCAGAACTTATCTAAATGCTGAAAATTTTGAACTAGTGCTTGATTCAGAAAAAGTAAAGGCAAAAGGCAATTTTATCTCTGTCTTTTATCACATATGTATTGCTCAGATCAAAGTTAACAAGTAGAATTCTCCATCCCATTCTCTTCATCATGCCTTAAGCTCATTTCTTATTAGTTTGTTTACACTGAAAATCTCTATGAAGGAATGCACATTCCATGTTGTTTTATTAGTGCTTAGTGCTCAGTTCCCTCATTCTGATGCAAAGATAAATCCAATATTAGATGAAATTAAATTCTAGTTGGTACACATGCAAGGATTACCTGATCAATGAAGAGAAAGACAAAACCCTTTATGTTCGTGGAAGAAATTAAAGACAGGCTTTGTCCAAATGCCATACCTAACTAGAGTAGATGAAAAATCCTGCATGAATGAAAAGGCATCTTTAACACCTAAAGTAAAGTTGATGGAACTAAATGGCAGCACTTACAGCTTGTATGGAAACACAGAAGGCCAGATATTAAATTCCACATGACAATACCATTACCATCTCTTACAATCCCCACCAATCATAATCTGAATTCGCAGGAAAGCAAACTTCAAAGTTCATCTTGATGTAATAAATATGTTTAAATTACAATTAACAAAACAATGTAATGCAACAGATCCCTTGAGTGACAGCTGAGAGCTTCTACCTGCAAGAAATCCCCACAAAAACCCATATCTCACCGGAAATCGTCACACCGCAGCCCCGCCGTATCTCCACCCCCTTGCCACCGTCCGCCGCCCCCCGAAACTTCCGCCCAAACTTACACCCTAGACTCTCCTTACCCTCCTATCCCCGAATCTCAAGCTAATTTTTCTCAAATCTAACCGGAATTGCTCGAATCTTAGGTCTAGGGTTCCGGATGGGGGTTTTGAGGTTTCATTGAGTAGTTGATCCTTACATGATGATATTTGCCTATTTTTGACAAAGAATAGNCCCCCCCCCCCCCCCACACACACACACACAAAAAAAAAATGATACTTTTACAGGGAAGTGATAATTTCCTACGGCCTTCCAGTAATGCATTATACCAATATTATCTTATGGGCTACAAAGGAAACCAGACCAACTTACAGAGCCACTCCGGCCATAAGGATTTATTCTGCAAAACTCTTCGAACCAAAATTATATCAGGTAGCTTTTTTTATTTTTTATTTTTATTTTTTTTATGATCTCGAAATCCATCAGGGTCCAGTCATTAGGACCAACCCCAACCTTCGAAACTCGGCGATAAGGAGCCGGCCCCTCTATCATTCTCCACTTAAATATCAGGATTAGTTCGCATGGCACGGGGCTTGAACTTCCCTAAACCTTTGCCACTTGAACCAAGCCTTGGGGGCCCTATTCACCATCATCAGTAAAGCAAAAGTTTTTTTAGGCTCATATCACTTATAAAAAGGTTCAAATTTCTTATTATAAAACTTAATTGACCAACTATAACCCCAATGTTCAATTTTGCCCAAATATCAGTGCCCGCAGGACCTACAATTCCAAATGATTTTGATTTTCAATCCTCGTGTCTATGTAACTTTATCCACTACACCTTCATCTCCCACGTTTTATGAAATGAGCGGGAATCTCCTTAAGAACCACACATAATATTTGGTACTATGTGTATGCATAATAAGTTCAGTGTAAACATAGTAATCCAGGTTGCAGACCTTTAAAGTCGGCGATATAAAACTGAGTGCGTTGTTCATCCGATCCTAATAAGCTCGAGCAGAGGCTTGAAGGAAAACTTGAGAAAGATCAACAACAAACTAAACAAACAGATTTGCAGCAATCAGGTAGTTAGAAGGAATGCGAGCAGATCACTTGAAAAACGATCAAACAAAGAGCAATATTATCAACGGAGAGGGCACTGTCAAATAATGATGAAATTTAGAAGACAAATGAACTCATGTACTGCGCAATTTCGGAAGAGAGGACAGCCGAGGAGGCATATTTAATTAGGATGGAGATTGGTGGAAGTCTGTCCAGAATTGCTCGTAACGTGGCACGTAATGCAATCGGGACAGCGCGGACCTGAACCGGTATTTACTTTTGGGTCGAATACGGTCATCGAATGTATTGGTATAAAATTGGGGAAGTGCACGGTTAGCCGCTGTTTAAAATGTCTTTAGTCTTTAGCCACTGCTTTAATAAACTTTACCTGCCCGGACGAAAACACCCTTCTGTATATAAAAGTTCAGGACCAAGTGTCCTTAACTTTTGAATTTGCAACTCTAAGTTCAGGACTTCAGGACTATATGTCCTTAACTTTTGAACTTGGAACTCGAAGTTCAGGACCACCTGTCCTTAAGTTCTGTGCTTGTAACTCTAAGTTAAGGACTACTTGTCCTTAACTTTTGAACTTGTAAGTCTAACTTGAGGACCTATTGTCCTTAACTTTTGAGCTTGTTAGTCTAAGTTCAGGACCAAGTGTCCTTAACTTTTGAACTTGTAACTTTAAGTTCAGGACCAAGTGTCCTTAACATTTGAGCTTGTTAGTCTAATAGCTCGTTTGGCCAAGCTGCAAAAATCAGCTTATTTTGAGAAGTGTTTTTTTTCAAAAGTGCTTTTCTCAAAAGTACTTTTAGTGAGAAGCAGTTTGTGTTTGGCTAATTAGTTTGAAAAGCACTTCTGAGCAGCAATTAGTGTTTGGCCAAGCTCTAAAAAACTGCTTCTAAGTGTATTTTTCTCAAAAGTGTTTCTCAAAAAAGTGCTTTTGGAGAGAAGTTACTTTTTTCTGCTTCTCCAAAACTGCTTCTGCTTCTCCTCAAAAGCACTTTTTTTCCTTCCAAAAGCTTGGCCAAACACATCAATTTTTGGCCAAAAGTGCTTTTGGCAAAAAAAAAAAGCACTTTTGGCCAAAAAGAAGCTTGGCCAAACAGGCTATAAGTTCAGGACTTCAGGCCCTATTGTCCTTAACTTTTGAACTTGTAACTGTAAGTTCAGGACCTATTGTCCTTAACTTTCATTTTGAAATTTAGGAAACTTCTGGTTCTTGATTAAGACCTCTTGTTTACCTTATTTCTTTTTTTAATTGCTACTAATTAAGACTCTACTTTAGAGTCTGTTCTAGACCAATGAAAACATAAACGACAAACCAAGTAGCAAACCAGATAGAAAAGCATGAGATTTCTTAAGAGTGCAGTATCTCTCATTTGTCGATGTTGAATTGTATAGTCCGTCACGAACAAAGAGCAAAGACTTTTGACACTGAAGCGAAGAAGATGTGCTGGGCAAGGCGGGGTCAAGAGATAGAAGAAAGGGTAACATCATCTTTTCATATTAATTTTAATAGACCAGTGGCTAATTTTCCTCAGCATTAAAAATGCTGGATAAAAAGTAAATACCACTTTAAAAAGTGGCTACCCCACGCAATTTTTACTATAAAATTCTCAAGAAATCTTGGGATTTAAACTAGCAACGACCCTCTTGTTGTGACGATGCATTTGATAGTTTGAAAACCTTATAAGGTTACTGTTGTTTGACAAAAAAAGGATAATCTTTGGTTAAACTAATTAATCAGTTTTGAAGGGGTTAATCCTAGTTAAAGCTAATAATTACAGATCTTAGGTTAACAGTGTAGATGAAGTGGACAGTGGCGAGACAGATTTAATGCGCCAATATTAAATGCGTCGAATACAATAATATGTTAGAAATACCGGGTATTAAATAGCAATAAGTGGCACTAAATGTAAATAAGTAGGAAGATTCACCCAATATTGAATGAGATGGATGATTCCTTCCTCTGACAGTGATGAATGACAAGAATATAAGAGAATATTGAATACTTTCTCGGATCTGGTGGAAATGACAAGAGATAATCCAAAAAGGTCGAATCTATTCAGAAAGTTGTTCTTTGTATTTATCTAGAGAGTTTCCTTTTCAAAATAGTTCTTATCATATGGAATATTATATGCCTTTTGCCTTATCTCTCATTCAATTTATATGGGATATCCCCAAAGAACCCTAAAAGTACAAACAGAGAGAATATTTAATAGAATATCCCCTCTGAAGATCCCAATACAAAACTAGTTGTTACTTCTATCCACGCTACTCGACCTCGGCCGTGATTGACCGCTTGGCGGCTCGTTCCATTGATCACTAGTCGACCTCGTCCAAACTGTCCTTGATTTGAAAATCACTCATGATAATCATCTCTGCATGCCAAATTTCCTCAGTCTGATTTTGACCCATCAAATTAGTCCTTCCGCTTATCGAGGTTGTCTTTTGGTCGACCTCGGTAAGCGGACTTCATTAGTTGTAATCGAGAAATTCAGATGGGGAGGTCGAGTAGTGAGGATCATGGCTGAAATGTTGACGTGGCGTTTTAAGAAGCACAACTTATTGTGTCATTGGTTCAGATGACGTCACGACCTTACACGTCATTATTACGCATCTTCTTGATGCGTTGCATTGCTTTTCGTGCCCTTGTCTTTTCGATCTCCGTGCATTCGACGGTTGATTTTCTCGATCCAAGTGTCTGTGTTCTCTATAAATAAGGATGGGGAACCCTTCGAGTAATCCTTTATATTTTCCAACCTTTGAAACTACATCTTTTCCTCTCTTCTTCTTCTTCCTGTGTTCTTGCTCTAATTGCTTCCATTGTCGCACTCTTACTCTCCTTTCTTGTTCGAGCGATTCTTGTTACTTCTACCTCTTTCGAGTTCGTGTCTTCTGTATTTACAAATAACCAAAAATGGTTAATGCACCTTCTGCCTCTGGTGTGGCTTCTGAACCAACCCCACTAGCAGTGAGAATTGCCCCGTCACGATGATGATGCTGCCGCTGCTACTGAGGACGAGAGCTTTCCCACCATGGAGGAAATCATTCCTCGTAATGACAAAGCCAGGTCGTACTTCTCGAAGCCGCCTACGGACGAGCCTGAATCTGTAGAGTCCGAAATGGATGCAGTCGACCTCGCAGCTTAGGGTCAAGTACAACATCCCGGCCCATATCGACTTAGTCCCGGCTGGTCGCGACATAATTCATATTCATCGCCCTGGGTATTGCGCATTCTATGTGTATCCGTTCTAAGTGGGCTATTCTCTTCCTCTTCCTCCGTTGGCAGAGGAATTATGCCGCTATTACGGCATCTGCCCGGCCCAGCTCTCCTTTTATATTTACAAACTTTTCCTGATGTTGATAAAGTGCGCGGAACTGGCCAACCGCGGGATGTCCATTCGCCACCTGTTGCATCTCTTTGCGCCGAGTTTCCTTAGAGGTACGATGTTGCATCTCCGTCATTGTGGGAGCAAGGGATTGGTGGTGAAGATAGATGATAAGTCCAATCGTCGATTTTGGTTCAACTTCTTCTTCATTAAGACCGAGCACGTGGTGGCGAACCCTGGTGGATTCCCTGAAGCGTGGAACTTCGCCCGTAAGTGTTTTTGCTAACTGATTGCTCGTTTTGTTTATCTCATCGGTGACCTAATAATTCCTCTTCTTCTTTTGTGCAACCGAGAAAGACCCGCCCGACATTCATGACTGGGTGGGTCAAATTTTTGCCCACACGGTGGGGATCCGCGAATGCTCGTCGTTCCATAAGAAGTTTGGACGTAAACCTTCTGTGACCGGTAAGTTATTCATTTCGACCTTCTGTTGCTTCGACTTTCATGTCGTCTTCTTTTTATCTCCCTTCCTCCCTGTAGTAGGGTTAGTTTAACTTCTATTTTTGCTGTCATGTCGGAGGGCTTCGAGAAGAGTGAAGGCTCCTACCCCCGCTTTTCGTCAATCGGGTGCCTCGACTGTGTCTCTACTTGCTGCGACCGTAGGCAAATCTGTTTAAACTGCTGCTTCTTCTCAAACCTCGGCACTGGCGTAGACCTTGCAGACGGGCGGCAGCCCATACTGCAGAGACTTCGTCTTCTCCTATATTGCACCTGGTAGACGAGTCGTCGCCGAGTGAGGAGGAACTAGTTCCACTAAAAAGGCGGAGAGTAGAAGTTGGCGACGAGACAGCTGGAACCGAAGAGTCAACAAGGGGCGATCCTGAGCCAGCCACGGCTGCATCTGAGGCGACCTAGGTTTGAACACTAAGACTTTGTCGCCTGCAGAGGTTGTAAAAATTGCTTTTTTGCCCGAAGTCATCATCGAAGAAGGGGGTGACCAAATGCGGAGGAGGCCGTTCCGAGGAGCGATTTATCACCGTTAGGGCAGGATGACGTTCCTTCATCAACCGAGGAGAGAGGGAAGAGTGTGGCCGTGGACGCCTATGAAATCGGTTCCGACGTCGACCCCGAAGAGGTACGGATATTCAACGAGGGGTTTACTCGGGTAGATGTGATGATGGAGGGATCTACTCGCATCATAGTCGTTCCCCTGGACCGTGACTTGTTGGTGAATACAGAGAACTTGAATCCTTCTTTGGGTCCTCTCTGCTCTAACGCCCAAGGCAGGACTTTACAGATGTTCGATGATGTCGCTCTGTCGTCGGGCATATCCGGAATGGCTTTGAGGGCACATTTTTGGTTTTTCTCGTTCTCGTTCCTTACGTTTTTTTTGACAGACTTCTTTCTTCTGCTTTTCCTTTTTCAATAGACCCTCATTTTGGAGATTGAGAGAGCCCGCCGAGAAGAGAAGAGGAGGGCTATTTTCAAGAGAATGGAGTCAAAGTATCTGAGTACCGCGTGAAGCACCGTGAGATATGCACCCGATTCGCATGGATGGTAATTTCCAGTCTCTTAGGGACGAGCTAAAGCAGAAGGACGATGAACTTGTGAGGGTTATCGGTAAATATAGTTAGCCGAGGGAGCTCTTAGAGTCAAGGAGGACGAGCTCGAAGTGAGCAAGGGGGTCGGGACTGAGTGTGCCAATCTTCAAGCTCAAGTGGTATCCCTGCGGGGTGAACTTGAGCAGAGTTCGACCTGAGCCAACGACTTAAGTGATGATTTGATTGAAAAAATAGCGGAGCTGGGGAAGGCCGAGGAAGCCAGGGCAGCGGCTTTGGCGAAGGTGGAGGCGTTGGAGGATGCCATCCGCGTCCGGTCTGAGCGGGCGAGTGATGCGGAGGCGACCATGCTCAGGGAGGC